CTATGGATCCCCTGTACCCCACACATCCCCTGTACCCCATAGATCCTGCCCTATGGATCGATCCCCTATGCCCCATACATCCTTTCTGCCCTATAGATCCTGCCCTATGGATCCCCTGTACCCCGCAGATCCTGCCCTATGGATCCCCTGTACCCCATAGATCCTTTCTGCCCCATAGATCCTGCCCTATGGATCCCCTGTACCCCATACCAGCACCAGCCTCATTTTAATCCTTTAATGATGCCTGGGGTGTGTTTCCCATGCCAGACACCCCCCGAACTGCCCCGCTGTGGGTCAGGGACACATCCCTGGCACCCGAACTGCCCCGCTGTGGGTCAGGGACACATCCCCGGCACCCAAACTGCGCCGCTGTGGGTCAGGGACACATCCCGGAGCCACCTCAGCGCCCCCTTCCCCTTTTCCCCCGCCCGGCCCTGCCCAAGGAGCCCGGGGGAGCTTCCCCGGCCACGGCCGAGTGCTGGAAAACAGCAAAGCCCGACCGCTATTCCCCAAAATCCGGCTCTGTCTCGGTGATTTGTGTCCGCTGCGATATCGAACCGCTGCCTGGAGGAACTCGGCTACTTAAAAACCCCGCGCAGGAGGCAAACAGGGAGATTTATTATTTTACTTTTGTGGTTTTCAGATAGTTTATGACACCGGGCTAATAACTCCCGAACCAAAATCTTCATTGATCCGGGGGAAACGTGACGTGATCCTCCCTCCCCGGGCCCCCGGAGGAGCTGCTGCCCTCCAGGGATGGCTCCATCCTGGGGGTGCTCCCGCCGGCAGGGACAGGAGCAAATCCTGAGCAAATCCTGAGCAAATCCTGAGCGCCCAGGGCACCCTCCCGGCTCTCCCGAGGCGCTGGGATTCCTTCCAGCATCACCGCGATTGTCCCTGTCCCTCTCCCAGCTCCCTCCGGCCTCCTCCTTCCCCTCAGCAGCGCCGGCAGGACCCCAGGGCCACCTCCCCGCGTTGGGGACATTGATGAATTGTCACTTGTCGCATGGCCACGCCCGGCTCTCCATCCCCGCAGGTTTGGGGCGCTCCCCCATCCCAGCGGGGCGAGGCACAGCCGGGCTGGCACCTCCCCATACCGGGGACATCGGCCGGGTGTCCCCGCGGGGACACGGGCACGGGGAGGTTCGTGCGATAAAACCCCAAATCTGCCTCATTTCCCATGCACCGGAACGACCGCGCTGCTCTCAGCCAGGAAACCCCGCCGGGTTCCGGCTTTTAGGGGAAAGGACGAGACCGGAGCCGCCCCCGCCGCGGGCTCCGAGAGGCTCCCAAAGGAGCGGCCCTGCCTGGGGACCTGGGGCTCATCGGCCCGAGGGGCTCTGGGTCCCAAACTGCAATCCTGTTCTGGACCCCAAACCGGGCAATCCTGCTGTGGGTCCCAAACTGAGAAATCCTGCTGTGGATCCCAAACTGCAATCCTGCTCTGGATCCCAAACTGAGAAATCCTGCTGTGGATCCCAAACTGCAATCCTGCTGTGGATCCTGCTCTGGATCCCAAACTGTGCCATCCTGCTGTGGATCCTGCTGTGGATCCCAAACTGTGCATCCTGCTGTGGATCCCAAACCACCCCATTCCTTCAGCCCACTGAGGATCCCAAACTATCTCACCCCCATTCCCCCAGCCCACCGTGGATCCCAAACCATCCCATCCTGCTCACCCAGCCCACTGAGGATCCCAGTCCATCCCACCCCACTGTCCCCAGCCCACTGCCCCAATTCCAGCTCTGATCCTGGGCTGGAGCATGGGCAGGGGGGCCTTGGGCAAGGCAGCTCCTCCTGAGAGCACCAGGGACACCCAGCAGGACCCTCCCTGTGATTCCAGAGGGCAAACAAGGAGGATTTCCCCCTTTGCCCACCACAGGGACACCCAGCAGGACCCTCCCTGCGATTCCAGGGAAAGCAGGGAGGATTTCCCATTTTTCCCCCCAGCTCTCTGCTGGCATTAAAGACAAACCACTGCCATCATTTGAACTCCACGATCAGGACCTAATTCAATCCCACCCTGCTCATTGTTGGAGGGCTGAGCATTAAACTGAAACCCTAAGCCGGGCCTGCAGTCATTTGGCTGGGGAGGAATTGATTTTGGCCATCAGCACTTTCTCATTTTCGATGGAGTCCCCACGTAACCAGGTTAATTTCTGTTAATCCCATTAGCCAGGTACTTCTGGCTCTCCAGCCCAATGATTTTGTGTCTGATCTGAAAGATTGTAATTGCAACCCAAGAGGACACAAACAGGAGCCTGTGATGGAGAGGAACCGGCCTGACACAGACCCAGCTTCTCTTCCACCTAAAAACCAAACTCTCTCCAAATTTCCCCCTGCTTAATGACCACACACAATAAGTTCTGTCCCTAATTAATTTCCCCACAGTCCAGATCCCCCCTTCTGCTGGATTAATGTTATTATTACAAGTTTGATTGGGTCCTGTGCAAGTTCCAGGCCCGGTTTTATTTTTCTTGACTCAGGTCAGTGCTGGGTTAGGTGTAACCCTAACCCAAGGGCTGTCTGGGGAGGCTGATCCCAGTATCCCACTGGAGCCAGCCCAGGGCCCCCAGCCCTGAGGGAACCCCTGGCACTGCCCCAAGGGAGATTTGCCCCAGGTCTGGATCCCCAGCTGGGGGAAATGGGGGTTCCAAAGGGGGGGAGTTTTAAACTAAAAGAGAGGAGTGCCCCCAAAACACCCAAGGCGTGGCAGGGTCCCCACCTGGCTGGGGACATCGGTGCCCTGTTGTCACTGCTAATGAGGGCTGGTGAGCATGCCTGCATCCCTGCAGCTCTCCCTGCATCCCTGCCTGCATCCCTGCATCCCTCCCTGCATCCCTGCATCCCTCCCTGCATCCCTGCATCCCTGCCTGCAGCCCTGCATCCCTGCAGCTCTCCCTGCATCCCTGCAGCCCCGCCTGCAGCCCCGCCTGCATCCCCTGCTCGCCAGGGCTCCTTCCTTCCGCAGCCGCCGCGCTCGGAGCACGCCCGGGCCGGGGCAGCAGCTGCGGAGCACTCGGAGCTCGCTCGGGCAGGAAACGCCGGCGGCTCCCGCAGCTGCGGGGCTGGGCCGGGGCTCACACGCGAGGGACACGTGGCACGGGCTGGTGGCACCGGGAACACCGGGAGGGGACAGCGGGAGGAAGGGCTGGGCTGGGCACCGGGGCAGGAGGGACCTGCGGGGACACGGGAGTGACCATCATGGAGCTGTGGGGACAGGGGAGTGACCATCAGAGCTCGGGGACATGGGAGTGACCATCACAGAGCTGTGGGGACACGGGAGTGACCATCACAGAGTGTGGGGACACGGGAGTGACCATCACGGAGCTGTGGGGACACGGGAGTGACCATCACGGAGCTATGGGGACAGGGGAGTGACCATCAGAGCTCAGGGACACCAGAGTGACCATCACAGAGTGTGGGGACACAGGAGTGACCATCAGAGCTCAGGGACACAGGAGTGACCATCACAGAGTGTGGGGACACAAGTGTGACCCACTGTGGTGCAGGTCCAAGTTGTGGCAGTGCAGGTCTGGACTGTGGCATTGCACACCCAAACCGTGGAATTGCACACCCAAACCATGGAATTGCACACCCAAAATATGGAATTACACACCCAAACCATGAAATTGGAATTGCACACCCAAACCCTGGAACTGCACAGCCAAAACATGAAATTACACGCCTAAATCACAGCACTGCACACCCAGCCCCTCCATATCCCTGTCCCCTGGGCTGGGGGTCACTATTCTGGGGTCCCAGGCTCTATGACCTCTGGCACACTGTCACCATTACTTTTCCGTTATTTTTCCATTATTTTCCCATTATTTTTCCGGGAACCTCCCAGGCCTCTCCTTTCCCCCTGCCCCAGCCCAGGAGCTGCACCCTGAGATCCCTGATAAGAGCTCGGGGGCAGATAAGGGATGCTGCTCCCCAGCCTGGCCAGGATGTTCCCCTTTGAGGGGCCCAAATCCACCCGAGATGAGTCAGTTCCTCCGAGCTCCAGCCCCTGTTCTACATGGAACTAGAATTTTTCATTTCATTTCGGCCCTGCAGGGGAGGCAGAGCTGGAGGAGACAATGGAGGCAGCTGTGAGAAACACAAACACTCTGAAATCTAAAAATAAAATAAATGTCAGTGCCAGCCAGAGCAGCTCTGCCTGTGCTCGCTGCCAGCCCTGCAGGAGCTCTGGGATTTGGGAATTTGGGACAATTCCCTGCTGGGCCAGGCCAGGCTGGGCACCCTCAGCAGTGATGGCTGGAGAGAACACCTGGGACAGGGGCTGGACAGAGTTAAAGGAGTAAAGTAGGGGTTTATTAAAAATATTTAAATGTATTTATTAAGAATCCTTCGCAGGATGCATCTGGGGCAGTGCAAGAGCCTGGCCATGGCTACACCCAAGATGGATCTGAGTCAGAGTTTTCACTTTTCATAAGTTTTGGCCCATTTTCATATCGGGGTTAATTGTTTGGGGGAGACCCCAAGGGTGGGGCTGTCCTGGGGTGTTTTTAAACCCAGGGAAGCAGAGCTGAGGGGGCAGAGGAGTTCTGGGTGATTTTAATCCCTCTAACAGAGGAGGGGAGCAGAGATGAGGGGACAGAGGAGTTTTGGGGTGTTTTTAATTGGAGGGAAGCAGAGCTAAGGGGGCAGAGGAGTTCTGGGGTGTTTTTAATCCCTTGGCAGAGGAGGGAAGCGCAGCTGAGGGGGACAGGCCAGGCAGGGCCGCCTCATGGCCGGGCCTTTGTCTCCCTCTGCTGGGCGGCCACGGCTCCGCTGCAAACCCTGCTCCACGGAAATCTGGACTTGCTCCGCTCAGAAATTGCAACAAAACTTTTTTTTTTTTTTTTTCCTGTAACGTTGCCCTGTTTTGGGTCTCCTGAGGGATTTTGCGCATTTTGGGAGAATTCCGGAATCCAGCAGCGGCGATAGCACCTCCCGCCCGCTGGGGGGCGCCGTGCAGGACGCGCCGGAAGCCGGAAGTGCCGGGAGCACCGGAAGCGGCGGAAGGCGGAAGTGCCGGCGGGGCGCGATGGCGGCGGCGGTGTCGGCCCTCAGCAGCCTGGGGGTGCCCGAGGCCGATGTTGGGGTGAGGCGGGGACGGGACCGGGTGGGACGGGGGTCCCGGCTCTTCCCGGGGCTCCTGGCTGAGTGCAGCTCGTTGCAGAGCGAGGAGGAAGAGGAGGAGGAGCAGGCAGAGCCCGGCCCGGCCGCGGCGGCGGCGGCGGAGCAGAGGCGGGAGGAGCGGCTGCGCCGGTTCCGGGAGCTCCACATGAAGCGGGTACGGCACCAGAACCGGGCCCAAACACTGCCTGGCTGGCGCTGGGGGTCGGGCTGGGCGATCTCCAGGCGTCCCTTCCAGCCCTGATTGCTCTGAGGTTGTTCGGGGTGGGTTCGGTCTCCCGGGGTTCGGGGTTGTTCAGTTTGGGGTTGTTCCCCTCGGGGTTTGGGGATTGTTCCTCTCGGGTTTGTTCTCTCTCTCTCTGTGCTGGAGTTTTGCCCTGTTTGGTTCCAGTACGAGGCCTGCAAGCTGAACAGCCAGGAGGTGGTGGAGGAGGACAAGAGGCTGAAGTTGCCCCCGAACTGGGAAGCTAAAAAGGCTCGGCTGGAGTGGGAACTGCAGGTGCAGGAGAAGAAGAAGGTAAAGAACTCCCCCAGAGCCGGGGGTGTGAGCTGGGATTAGCAAAGCTGGGCTGGGCTGTGCAGAGCTAGGATTAGCAAGGCTGGACTGGGCTGTGCAGAGCTGGGATTAGCAAATCTGCTCTCTCAGGAATGTGCAGCCAGGGGTGAGGACTACGAGCGGGTGAAGCTGCTGGAGGTCAGCGCCGAGGACGCCGAGAGGTGGGAGAGGAAGAAGAAGAAGAAAAATCCCGACCTGGGCTTCTCAGGTGATATTGAAAATTGTATAAAATATATTTAAAATGCTATAAAATACATAAAACAATGCTATTTATATATAAAATGACAGATTACACTATAGAAAAAGCAGATAAAAGGGATTACAAATTTTTCTATAGCAGAATCTTAGTGGTCAGTAATAACTTGTGAAAGCCAATGTGATAAAATGTATTAAAATTTGTATAAAATATATTTAAAACTGTGTAAAGTGCATAAAATAATGCTATAAAATACATAAAAAATGCTATAATATATATTAAAAACCTACAGAATACATTACAAATGCTATAAAATGTGTAAAACACTGCTATAAAAGCCAACAAATTCTGTCCTTTTTAACCCAGACTATGCGGCGGCGCAGCTGCGCCAGTACCAGCGGCTGACCCGGCAGATCAAGCCCGACCTGGAGCAGTACGAGAAGCTCAAGGAGCAGCAGTGAGTCCTGCTGTCAGTCCCTGTGGCATCTTTGAGGGCTCAGCACACCCTGAACTCCCTCCTGCCTGTTCTGTAATCTCACCCCTGCTTCACGAGGGGTGTGGGGTAATTAATGAGGTTCATTTCTCCCAGCCGAGCACTGCTGAGCTGGAGGAGTTGTTCACCCAGTGAGGTCACGTTCCAGTTTGTAATCAGGCACTTCCTGGAGCAGGGTTTGGGGTTTTTAAGCTTGCTTTAAGGACTGAGACCTGCCCAGTTTGTGCTCAGACAGATTTGGCATTTCTGGGGGGTTCTGTATCTTCCAGAGGCACCTGCTGGTGCCTCTGTTGGGTTTAATGCTGACATTTGTCATCTGAGTCTGGGAGTGCTACAGCTGAGTGAGGTGTGCCAGGGGAGCTCGGGCAAAAGCAGGGAAGCCACGAGGACATGGACAGGAGAAGGGTGAGGGTTCAGAGTTAAAGAGGGGAGATTGAGGTTGGATATTGGGAAGAGACTTCCCTGTGAAGGTGTTGAGGGCCTGGTAGAGGTTTCCCAGAGAGCTGTGGCTGCCCCTGCATCCCTGGCAGTGCCCAAGGCCAGGTGGGACAGGGCATGGAGCAGTTTGGGATGTAGGGGGGCACTGGCTGGGCTGGGAGGGCCCTGCTGGGATTCCAGGAGCCTCAGCAGTGCCAGGTGTGTAACTGTGCTCTCCCACAGTGGGGAGGCCCTGTACCCCACCTCGGACAGCCTCCTGCACGGCACCCACGTGCCCTCCAAGGAGGGCGTGGACAGGATGGTGGCAGACCTGGAGAAGCAGTGAGTACAGGGGGGACAGGGCAGGGCAGGGCAGGGGGTGCTGCAGGCCCAGGCTCAGCCCCTGTGCCCCACAGGATCGAGAAGAGGGAGAAGTACAGCAGGAGGCGGCCCTACAACGATGACGCCGACATCGACTACATCAACGAGAGGAACGCCAAGTTCAACCAGAAGGCAGAGAGGTTCTATGGGAAATACACAGCTGAGATCAAACAGAACCTGGAGAGGGGCACAGCTGTGTGAGCCTGCCTGGCTCAGCTCAGCTCAGAGCCTGGCCTGTGTGAGCCTGGCCTGTGTGAGCCTGCCTGGCACAGCTCAGCTCAGAGCCTGGCCTGTGTGAGCCTGCCTGGCACAGCTCAGCTCAGAGCCTGGCCTGGCTCAGCTCAGAGCCTAGCCTGTGTGAGCCTGGCCTGTGTGAGCCTGCCTGGCTCAGCTCAGCTCAGAGCCTGGCCTGTGTGAGCCTGGCCTGGCTCAGCTCAGCTCAGAGCTGGGCTGTGTGAGCCTGGCCTGTGTGAGCCTGCCTGGCACAGCTCAGCTCAGAGCCTGGCCTGTGTGAGCCTGCCTGGCTCAGCTCAGCTCAGAGCCTGGCCTGGCACAGCTCAGCTCAGAGCCTGGCCTGTGTGAGCCTGCCTGGCACAGCTCAGCTCAGAGCCTGGCCTGTGTGAGCCTGGCCTGGCACAGCTCAGCTCAGAGCCTGGCCTGTGTGAGCCTGGCCTGTGTGAGCCTGCCTGGCTCAGCTCAGCTCAGAGCCTGGCCTGTGTGAGCCTGGCCTGGCACAGCTCAGCTCAGAGCCTGGCCTGTGTGAGCCAGGCCCAGCTCACTCCTGGCTCCTCCGTTGCCGTTTCTATTTTCAATTGTATCAAAAGTCGATTGTAGCTGTTGCTCTCTCAGCTCAGTGGTGTTTGCTGTGCTAAACAATGTGCACAATTCAGCTGTAAATAGCTTTGGCTGCAGGAGTAGCCAGGTTCTGCCTTTCATGCTCTAAATAAACTCTTTGGTCTAAGTTGGGAGTTGATTTCCTCAGGTTTGTGTGCCAGCAGGATGAGCAGCAGTGACAGTCCCAGGGAAAGGCAGCTCCCGTGGCCCTCAGCAATTCCAGGGTGGGATTGCCCTTGCCAGTGCAGCTGTGCAGCCTCAGCCACAGGGACAGGATAGACACAGAATCCTCCCACCCATTCCAGGGTTAATTAAAGAAGCTTTCAGACATGAGCAGTCCAAGTCAGTTTATTTTATTAATAATTTATTTATACAAAAGCCAAGTTTAACCAGTTACTCCCAGTCCATGCAAGAGCTCCTTGTGTTCCTGAACTCCTTTCTCCTGGAGCAGAGGCCTGGACCCCTCCTGCCCTTTCCCTGCCTGCCTCACAGGGAGGCTGATCTTAAACCAAATAAATACAAGCCTGTACTGGAGCCATTGCTGTGGCAGGCAGCCACAATCCTACACAATCCCCACTTCCAGAGGGGAGCCAGGGAAGGAAGATCAAGGCAGGATCCACTCTGGGAATGATGCAACAGCTCTTCTGTGATGCACCTTGAGAGGAGCTGGAGTGCAAAGGAAACCCAGAAATAACCACATGAACTCAGGCCTAACACCCGACACATCCAGTGCAAAACTAAACTTTATTCACTTGAAGTAAACAGTTACACAAGGTAAATCCAGGTGTGCAAAGGACAGCTACTCAACTATGGTTTAGAAAAAGTTACCCACCTGCAAGTTCTAGTCCAATAAAGCAATATAAAATATTTACAAATATACACAAGATGCCCATCTGTGGCTTCTGGATCTGTGTGCTCTCTATCTGAAAGAGAAACCTAAGATTCCAAAAATTAAGACCTCAAAATAAATACTCAGTATTAACAAGTCTTCCAGCCCTCATGAGCGTCCCCCAGTGCTGAGGGTCCAAGTGCTGCAGAGGCAGGGGCTCCCCTCAGCGTGCCCGGAACAGGGAGCTTTTGGGTGAGAAGTTCAGGAATGTTTTCTTCTCCTCCTTCTTGACAGGAACCCACTGCCCATAGGGGCTTCCCTTCCTGTCATCCTCCCTGGCTGGAGAAACCACTGGCTCCTTAACCACAGTGTGGCTCACTGGCTTCTGCAGGGCAGGCTTGGCCATTGTGTTCTGGGGGAAAAAAAGAGATTTCCTGTAAGAAAAGGGGTTAAACCCAAGGGGTTTATCTGTGCTGCTCTTATAAATCATACAATGTTTTCTCTCCAGCCCCTGGAATTCCTGATGCCTACACTGGTATCAATCACATGCACTTAACACAGGAGAAATCCCTGAATCCTGTGTTTGCATTACTGGAACATGTAACCTGAGATAAGCTGTGTTCTAAACTAGTTCCAGTTTTGAATTGTTTGGGTTGAGCGTAAACACTCATTTCAAACACACCACTGAGGTGTATTCAGGGTGCTCTACCAACTCCTGCAGGGAAATCATCAGCAGACAATAAATTATGATTGTTTGGGAGAAGCCCGAGCTGGGGCTGCATCACTCACATTAGGGCTGAAGGAAATGCTCCTCTGGATGGTTGCTCTCTCCATGCCAGCCTTGCTCTCGTCCTCAGCTGCACTCCCAGGTTGCTAAAGAAGAGCAGACACAGCTTAGGAGGGGATCCCTGACCCAGGGCAAGCACAGCTTTCTGTGGAGTGGTTGATATCTCATCTACAGTGGCTGTAAAGCTACAGCACAGCAGGGCTGAGCCCAGGGTGCAGCTGTGCCCCTTGCTGGGGCAATGGAGGCAGCTCCAGCCCCGTTCAGCCCAGAGAGGGCTCAGGGCCCCAGCAGAGCAGGGACAGCAGCTCTGCACACCCATCCTCTGGAGAACAACAACCAACTTATCTGCAAGGGATGCAGGCCTCTTCTTCTGTACTCTCTCAACATCTGGAATATATTGCATATGTTTATGAAAGGGATGCCTGCAGCATTTGTGTCAAACCCTCAGCAAATTCACTTCCCTTTGCAAGAGCAGCACCTGAGCCAGGCGGTGGCTGCAGGTTTGTATTTACTGTGACTCAGGGGAACACACCACGACAGAACCAAACTAAAATTCACTTTAGGCTGCTCCAGTTTCTCCCTCCCTTCAATTCACAGCAGCTACAGCCCACAAAGTCCCTTAATTACCACCAGATTTTCTTCCTCATGTCTGGAACCATAGTCATGATTTCTATAAGACAGAAATAAAGTATGTAAAATGCATTGTGTGCTTGGGTATGGAATTTCTGGGAAACAGTTTGTTGCACATGAAAAGCTTTTAACAGTTAAAAAATGCAGAAAGATTTAACCTTAAAAAAAAAAAATAAATAAAAAACCAAAAAAACCCCAAAAACCTCAGGCTATTCACTAGGTTTGGCAAGGAGACTCCTGGTTTTAGGTCAGAAAGGCATAAACCAGTGAATTCATGGGAATTGTCCCATGAGGAGAACAAGTCAAAGGAACAAGTCTCCTCTCCTTCCCCAGCTGTCCCTACTGGACACTCAGGGATCAAGCACCTCTGAGAGGGCTCTCTGTGCTTCCAGCTTAAGGCAGAGCCTCGAGGCCTCTGGAGAAGTCTTAGTTCAAGAGTTTGAGCTCATAAGCACAACCTCCACGGGTGAACTACAGCACAGCCATGCAGACAAGTCTGAGAGGTGTTTACCTTGTCAGGGAGAACACTCCATACTTACCTCAGCTGACTCCGTGCCTTCCTCACGCTCCTGCTTCTCACTTTTGACCTCCTTGGCAGGAGCAGAGATCTTCAGGCTGGCTGGCAGGACAATGTTGTCTGTTCCCAGAGCTTTGGCAGCATTGGCTTTTGCAATTTCCAGGAGTTCCCTCTTGTCTGCAAGAGGGAGGAATAAAAAAAAAAAGTGCTTTGTGTCACATTAAAATCCATGTGTACCTAAAGCCTAAATCCTGCAGGTTTTACATCCATGCAATCATCAGCTGGGCCTGATCCCATCACAGCCTGTCCCCTGTGCCAATTAATCTTCTCAGGAACAATTTTTATTGCATTTGTAATGCAGTTTTTAACACGTTTGCCCAAGCACGCTGAGGTTTCCTTCACTCGGGCATTACAAACCAAGCAAGCAGAGGACAGGGAATCCGTGTGACCCCAACACCCCCTGCCGGCAGTGTCTGCCCCAGACCCTCCCCGGTACCTTTCTCGCTCAGGTGCAGCGGGGAGTGGCTCCGGGAGCGCGTGCGGGAGCGGCTCCTCCAGCCCCGGTAGGCCTCGGGGTACACGGTTCTGCCGAAGCCGTAGTAGCGGCGGCCGCGGGAGCGGGAGCGGCTGCGCGAGTAGGAGCGGCGGTAGCAGGCCCTGCCGCGGGACCAGGAGCGGGAGCGGCGCCGGCCGTAGCGGTGCCGGTAGCGCCGGGGCCGGTAGCGGCCGCGGTAGCGCCGGGAGCCGCGGGAGCGCGAGCGGCTGCGCGAGTAGGAGCGGGAACGGCGCCGGGAGCGGCGGGAGCGGCGCCGCCGGGAACGGGAGCGCGAGCGGGAGCGGCTCCAGCTGCGCGAGGAGCGGCCCGAGGAGCTGCTGGAGCTGGAGCTGCGCGAGGAGCGGCTGGAGGAGCGGCTGGAGGCGGAGCAGCTCCGCCGGGAGCGGCCCGGGGAGCCCCGGTGCTCGGGAGAGCCCCGGTGCTCGGGAGAGCCCAGCCTCAGGTCGTCCATGAAGTCCGCCATGTCCGCCGTCTGCCCCGCGCTGCCCTTCTGGGCGCTGTCAGCCTCGGCCTCGGGCCTGGCTGCGGCTCGGCAGTGCCCCGTCTCTGTTCCTGAAGGGAGAGAGGCAAGGTCAGTGCCTGCGGCACCAGGGCGCTTCCTCAGCAACAACAAACGCGGCGACACGCAGAGACCGGGGATGATTAAACACCACAACCAGCCCCGGCCAGTTTCCAGGGACAGCTCAGCTCGGCACTTCCCTCTCCTGCGCTCAGCCACAAAACTCAAACGCGAAGTTGTGTGAAAAAAGAAAGGCTTCAGTTTAAACCATGAGTAGCTGGTTCTGTGTGGAATTCTGGAGAGAAGTACGTCTGTGTGGGTTTTAAGTGTAATTCCTTTTGCAGTACCTTTTCTCCTTTAAAAAGGAGGAAAATCTTGCTACTCTTGAAAAGGATTTTCAAGCTGTTTCATCACCCTCTATGACACATCTATGATACAAAATAACAATTTCCCTGCAGCTAACTACAAAGTGAGGAGCTTTCAGCTACAATTCCACGCAGGTTTTTACTCCAACGAGGGGAAATAAAACTATCTTGTAAGTATAAAGCAGCTAAGATCTTGCCTGTATTTTGTTTTAAAGCTCCTGGCACACAGGCCCACACATCCCAGCAGTGTGTGCAACAAGCTGCTGTTAAAAACGCTCCGTGCAAAGCCGGGTGATGATTCAGTGGCCGTGACTCGCACAGGAC